GAAATTGTTCTTTTTCGTTGATAAATTTAGGCACCTTCTCGAATTTTTTTCTTGAAATTGCGCAGGATTACGGGGGTATGTGTAATGACCGAAAATGATTGTAATTGAGCCCCGCTGCCGAAAATAATTTTTCCAGAACGATTTGAAATTTTTCTTTTCGTTGAAAAATTTAGGCACATTCTCGAATTTTTTTCTTGAAAATGCGCAAGATTACGGAGATATGTGTAATGACCAAAAATTATTGTAATTGACCCCCGCAACCGAAAATAATTTTTTTAGAACGATTTGAAATTTTTTAATTTCGTCGAAAATTTCTATACTTTCTGAATTTTTTTCTCGAATGTGCGTAGGATTTCGAGGATATGCCTATTCACCAAGAATTACTGTAATTGACCCCCGCAACCGAAAATCATTTTTTTAGAACGATTTGAAATTTGTTAATTTAATTTTTTAATAACTTATTAACTTACTAACGAAGCCTCAGTCAAGAAATTGATATTCTTGATTTTCGTCTTATTTTGGTCTCTAGAATCTCCCATTACAATTTTTCCCCATGAAAGAATGCTGCAATTGAATTGGATCAATTGATCGATCTCGATTACATAAAAGTAAATAATTAAGGAAAGTTTGGAAGTCCTTTCGTTAAGCAAACTGTCGAAAATCTTGGAGGTCTGTTTCTCTTGCATTTTCGAAGAAATAGTAAGTAAATTTCTTCGAGTCAAATATATATTTTTAATTTTTAAAAATTAAATTTTCGTGTCGAAATAAGATTTACGAGTTTCGACAAATTTTTACGACCGAGTTGCGTCGATACCGGAGGCGAGATCAGAGACAATCCGACGGGAAATGACAAGCGATATGTTAATCGCGACTATAATCTATGAGGCAGGAATAAAACAAGAGAAAAGGGGGAACAGGAACGGAGGGGAGGTCCGTGTTCGACGACGAATTGATTTCCAGCCGATTGAATCGAGTAAATGGTTTTCTATGTGGCATCTTATCGTTGCTTAGATTTCACAGCCGTTAAGACTTTACGGCCGCACCCGTAAAACCGACGCCAGACGACATCAAACGTGTCGTAATTGAAATAACGTTCACCGTACGATAACTAGAATCCCACCATATCGATATACGGTTTGGTCAAAAAGGCATTCGTGCCCGTTAAATTGAATTTTCCCATTCGAATGACGAGGGAACAATGGAAAGAACAACGCCCGGATTTTAACAATACTTAGCAGACGATTATAAAACCAGGAAACAATTTTAATAACATTCAAATTTAAATTTATGAACATTTTTAAATACTCCCAAATTAAATGTAGCTACTCTTCGCTAAAGTTTGTCGCTTGATAACGTAATAACAAATAATGTGCAACCAGGTACAGTCACAAAGCAGAAAGAAACAAAAGATGAAACATTTCTCGTTTGTTTTCATTTTGCGCCGTCGCGTCGTTGTAAAAATTGTCGAATCGTCAACAATTGTTCGTCATCGATTAAATCTCGCGCGAGAATGCGTAGAATTGTTCGATCGCGAGATTATGGACAGTAGCTATGGCGCGGGAGGGGCGATGAATTTTTCCAGGATTTCGCACGGCCCGATGGGCTGCAATAACGTCATTGTATATTCTGAGAACGGTGAAAAGCGCCGCTCAATTCGGACGGTCGTCGATTTCCGTCATTAAAAAAAAAAAAAAAAAACGAGAGAAGAGAGACAAATAATGTTCGTTCGGTTCGCGTTGTTAAATCAAAAATCGGCCAAGCGTGCAAATAGAGCGGCACTCATTGTCGGGCGAAGAGCCTCGCACGCGTTTTTCATCGGCTCTCGAAAACTGAATGCACCATGCGCTCGAATTAATTCGAGTTCACATGCGTCCACACTTTTCACCCCCTCCGCCATTCCCCGTCCACCCCCCCCCGTGAAATTCAGCTCGGTCCTCGTGCCGCTTGTATTTCATATCGACGCAACCGCGACGAGCAGAAGCATCTTCGTTCCCATCGTCTCTCTTTTCACCGGTTGCACCCTCCCCTGTATTTATCATTTTTTTGTTGTTTCTTTCCGTATTTTTTTTTTCTCCCCCTTTACGCCGTTTTTCGTTTTCTTCGTTGCAGCCTCGCTTTGACTGATTTCAATTTATCGCGCTCGTTACCGTCCCATCCGAGCTACCTATGGCCACGGTGTAATTTTTCGACCCCTTCGGTCGGTTCAATTCACGCACCCGTGTATCTCGTACCAATGTTGCACAAAGCTATTAACCCGAGTGAGGTTCGTGCACCTTTCACGCTGAACAGAATTCACCGGAGAAAAGGCTTTGTTGTCTTTAATTGCCGCGTTCCATGGAAAGACGCGCGCCATTCACATTCGGAAGGTAGAGACTATTGAAGAAAGCTACTATTAGCTCGCGGATGGATGGAACTCCTCCAAAGAAACGAGACAGATTCAATCATGGGAGTCACGTTTTTTTAAATATGCAACCCTGTTCATCCACGGAAAATACAGAAATAATTGATAAATAAAATTCTGTTTTGCTTCTTCTATCTTTTAGCATTCTCATTCATATACAGGGTGTTCGGCCACCCCTGGGAAAAAATTTTAATAGGGGATTTTAGAGGCCAAAATAAGACGAAAATCAAGAATATCAATTTCTTGATTGAGACTTCGTTAAAAAGTTATTAAAAAATTTCAAATCATTCTGAAAAAAATTATATTTAGTTGCAGGGGTCAATCAAAATCATTTTTGGTCATTACACATACCCCTGAAATCCTACCCACTTTCGAGAAAAAAATTCCTTACGGAATATACAAATGTCTGACCATGAATGATGATTCCCCTGAAATTCGGCGAAATTGGAAAGTTTCAAATCGTTCTAAAAGAATTATTTTCGGTTGCAGGGCTCAATTGCAATCATTTTTGGTGAATACACATATCCCTGAAATCCTACCCACTTTCAAGAAAAAAATTCGAGTAGGTACTGAAATTGTTAGACGAAATGAAAAAATTTTAAATCATACTAACAAAATTATATTTAGTTGCAGGAGTCAATTACAAGCAATATTGGTGAATAGATATAACCCTGAAATCCTACCCACTTTCGAGAAAAAAATTCGAGTAGATACTGAAATTGTTAGACGAAATTAAAAAATTTTAAATCATACTAACAAAATTATATTTAGTTGCAGGGGTCAATTACAATAATTTTTGGTGAATAGATATACCCCGAAATTCTACGCGCTTTCGAGAAAAAAAATTCTTTACCGAATATCTAATGTGAGGCCAGAAATGCTACCCTGAAATTTCATGCGAATCTTTAAAATGTCATAACTCCTGAACGGATTGGAGGTTTTTAATTTTTAAAAATGCAAACAACGCGTATTTTAGTGGAGAATATGTAGAAATTCCAAAAATATTCGAAAACTTGTTCCTTAACACCGTAAATTGAGAAAAATCCCATGAAACTGGTCCAATTTTCAAACGGCCATAACTCCTACAAAAGTAAAGGTACCTCATTGAAATTTGTTTCTAAAGCAGAGCCCATGGGTACCTATAAAAAAGTATTAGACATCTTTTCTGTAGAGCGCCAAACAAATTTGTGAAAAATGAAAAACAAATTTTTAAGAAAAATGGACAAGGGTAGTGCCTAAAGTTTTCGGCGAAAAATAAAAATTTCAAATCGATCTGGAAAAATTATTTTCGGTTGCGGGGGTCAATTGCAATAATTTTTGGTGGATACACATACCCTCGAAATCCTACCCACTTTCGAGAAAAAAATTCAAGAATGTGTGAAATTTTCTGACAAAATTAAAAAATTTCAAATCGTTCTAAAAAAATTATTTTCGGTTGCAGGGGTCAATTACAAGCAATTTTTGTGAATAGACCTACCCCCAAAATCCTACTCACTTTCTAAAAAAAAATTCATTTCGGGCGGAACTTTAAACGTTAATAATTTTTTAACAAAGCCTCCATCAAAAAATTACTATTCTTGATTTTCGTCCTATTTTGGCATCCACAATTTCCCATTAAAATTTTTCTCAGGGTTGACCAAACATCCTATATTCAGTGTCTAAATTTTAAGTTCGAAGGATTCTGATTTTAACGTTTTACAAAACAGTAAACTATTAACTGTATACTTTGTATATTACTATCTTCGTTGTTTGGATTGTCAAAGAGTGCATTAAAACTTGATAATTGCGATATGGAATCCCACCGCGATGAACGGGATCCATCTTTACTGAACGAAGATCAAGAATACACCAGCGCTTAATCTAAAATGATTTATCAGTTCCTTCTCAGAAATGCTCGAGACCTATTCACAACGATGTCGAGAGTTTATTTGCGCCCGATCGGTCTGCTTCTGGTCAAGTAGTCAAAGTTTTATAGGATTCCAACGATATTGGAATTCTCATGCAAGCTCTTGAATATTGTCCCCGGTGGGAGATTCTCCGCCACGGCTAGATCACTTGTTTGCTTTCGTTTACGTTTAGAGGCGTGCAATTTATTAGGACACTTTGGCGGAAGAATAAGAAACACGGAGTGCTACGAAAATGAAGTCTGAGCAGACTTTAAAGCGCGCCAGACACGAGCGTTCGGTTCTGCGAACGCTCACCAACATTTCTGAACGATCTTTGACCTCTACGTTTACACACAGATTGATTTCACTAACAAACCGAAGTGTAATCGACCGATTTTATAGAATCTTTTGTATAAAGAAGCTTTTGCAAATAAAAGAAGTTCAGAAACAGACTTTGCAAACTAATCTTACAGAATGACACTAACAGTCTTTGATCGAGTATAACTATTGGGACATCCTTATGTTAGAATTAATATCTGAATATCTCCACTTCCTCTATAAAATATTCTTTAAACTCTCTGTTGTGGTTTATGATCGTTTTCGAATAGTTCGATTCATTTCGCGAAATTGTGGGATGGATCCGTAAAAGTTTTGGACAGTGATGAAAGGGGAATCGTTGCCTATAAACTTAATGTTGTTGTTTTTTGTTGCAGGCCGCAACGAGCTGATTGCCCGCTACATCAAACTGAGAACAGGCAAGACGAGAACGCGAAAGCAGGTCTCTTCGCACATACAAGTCCTTGCTAGGAGAAGACTACGTGAAGTCCAGGCGAAACTCAAAGTGGTGAATATCCAAAGATCTTTCGCTCGCTTTCCGTAGTTGAACATTCGCATTTTCCTTTGTTTGCGTATGAATTTTTAAGTCTGAGTATAATTTTGTAACAACGTCTGAACGGCTGACACCTTGCTTTAGAGGTTTAAGCAATTATAGTTTAAACAGAGGAACATTTGATTGGCATTGACAACGATTTCTGGGTCGATCGGAGCGCTTGAGTCGTTTGACGAATTATATTTTACGTTTTTAATCGTTTATTTTGATACGAGAAAGGCCAAGAAGGAGCATACATATACAAAACCAAATGTCGGGGAAAAAAGATAAAGAAACAGGGGGGGGGGGGTAATGTGGGCAAAGTAAAGATTACTTTTCAAAATAAACAAAAGTAACGGAAGTGCAATATTTTTGTTTGCATATTCTAAATAAGTTTTAGTGCGTTGAAAGATTATATGCAGCTATTCGGACACTTCTATCTACAAACACAGTTTTTATCAGAAGAAATATAGTAGAATCTAAGGGGTAATATGGGCATTTGTGCGAGGAATATGGGATGTATGGATTTAAGTGTATTGTATCGAAAACATGAAATAAATCGAACTGTCGTTATTCATATACTATTTATCTATTAATATATATATCTGCTTTTTGTAGATTACTATCACGTTTAAGGCATATATGTATGGTTCATCATATTAAACACATTCATCATGGTACCTTATTCTGTATTCCACGCATTTAACCCAGTTTACACGCATACCTGCTGCAAAAGTATTGCAGTACATTCGCCATAGAAGAGTACGACCACACTATGTGTAAGAAACAAAGCAAAATATGCTTGCATTACTATTCTCTCGAAAGACATTGTTTTGAAGAAACAGTTATAACAAACACATAAATATTATCCATCTCAATATTTAATGCATTTAAACAACTATATTCCCTGCAGTGCCCATATTAAACTAAATTACCATATGTTAATATCAAAGACGAATAAAACTATCAGCTATCAATTATAAAAAGAAAATCCACCATAAAATTGCATAACTCATAAGGCCTCAAACTTCATGCCAGTCAACGTTACCAAAATTACAAAAAGTTACATGAAATGTATTTTTACCAAAGAAGAAAAAGACACGATAAAGATGTTGATAGATCAAATACCTTAAAATTGAGTTTACCAAGAGACACGATTTATTTGTTCATTTTTACGTGTTCATTGTATTTTTTATGCATTGTTCTTCTTTTTATTTAATTCCGTTCCCCGTGAATTCGGATTGCGCAGAAATTAATCGTCAATAGAGAATTCGTTCGATCAGGAGCGACGCAGGGTAGTTTGTAACGGAATAAATCACGCGTAAAAATGAACCCGGCCCGTTTAATCAACAGCTGAATTATTAAAGCGATTTGGGAACAATTGCGCGACTGTTAATAAATCACAGCACTGTGCGTTCGCTGCTTCCATTCGCCGATACGAGCCCGAAATGGAGGAAGATAGGAAACGAGGGTGCATTTTATTTGCGCCAGGCACCGGACTAGCCTGACTCGGAAAATAAAAACAAACAATGCGAGCGTGTGCATTAAATGATTTAAGTATATTTTCCGTAGACTGTGTTGACGCGTTACGCAAGTTTATTCACGATTTTTACCAGAAGCTTCGAAACTACAAAGTAAATCATCGATCTCATGCGCGAAGAAAAGAATAACTTACTGTTAGTGTTAAAATAGAAAGCAAAAACAGGCGAGTTTAAAGACACCTTAATCGATATATTCTCCACCCAGAAAATGGAAAATTGGACAATATTCCTATCAATTTTGTTGAGTTTCAGTCGCTTTAAAGTTAGTCGATTAAATGCATTTCCGGCCTCCTCAATTTTTAAGGGTAGTTTCACCTCTCAAACACGAATGTGTTTCACTAAGAATTTTCAAACTCGATTCTTTCGACAACGAACAAAGAAACAAAGTAACTTTGCTCCACATTTTCGATTCGATTTTCGCTTACTTGCAAAACACGAGTCCCTGGTGAACGCTACGCACCCTCGTTGCGACTCCAATCGAGTTTCATCGATAAGCAACCGGTTAGATCGCGATGGACGCCGAAGGAAACATAATAACACGCACCCCTCGTTATTTCACGGAAAGAACCGCGCCTTTAGGTGAATCGGCGACTGCAGTTTCAGCGACTGCATCTGGTACTGCAGTGGCCGCATACCGTGAGCATTATTCAGAGAACCAGCCGGCCTACGGACAGTCCGGTGTGACGTAATTTTCTGGCCTCCGGGTTTCCACGTGGAGAGAGGACCGCACGGGGGCCTGCTTACCCCGGCAAATCCGCGATTTATTCCGCGGTAAAAGAATTTTTAGGCACGCTGTTTACGTTTCCTGTGGTCGCGCCTTATTTAATTTCTGCACGGCTCCTACCCATTAAAGACCATTCGCGGCGAACCGTACCGTGGCCGTAATTTTTCACAGGCGCCGTATCAAAACTTTAGCGCGGCGCCCTGCGATAAAAAACAACCCCCGCGACTCGCTTGGAACGCCCCTGACTCCTAATTCTGCTGGAAATCGATTCGAAAAATGCATTCGACTTGGTATTAAAAACATGCTTATTGTTTTACAAGATGGCTCCTTTCTTCGACTCTTAAATAATATTTTAATTCAAATGGACAACAAATATATTAGATTCGCGGCACTTTGCGAAAAAACAACCCCTACGACTCGCTTAGAACGTCCTTGACTCTTAATTCTGCTGACAATCGATTCGAGAAATGTATTCGACTTGGTATTAACACTAGATTTACGGGCATTGATCGCATATATATTTATTGATACTTTTCATGTTGACAATTACCTTAAAATACGATTTTTCTTTTAATTAGAATATGTATTCATGCCATTGCATCAATCAAATTCAACTTAAGTTGTTAAAAAATAATATTTATGCGTTCTGGAATTTTAAACGTCGAATCTGACATCCGTCAAATTGATGGCTTCCGCAAATCTAGTGTTAAACACATGCTTATTGTTTTACGTACAAGATGGATCCTTTCTTCGACTCTTGAATAATTGTTTAATTCAAATGAACAGCAAATAAATTATATTCGCGGCGTCCTCCGAAAAACAACCCCTACGACTAGCTTGGAACGTCCTCCATTCCTAATTCTGATGGAAATCGATTCGAAAAATGCATTCGACTTGGTATTAAAAACATGCTTATTGTTTTACATACAAGATGAATCCTTTCTTCGACTCTTAAATAACTTTTAAATTCAAATTGGACAACAAATATATCATATTCGCGGCGCCCTCCGAAAAACAACCCCTACGACTCGCTTGGAACGTCCTCCACTCCTAATTCTGATGGAAATCGATTCGAAAAATGCATTCGACTTGGTATTAACACCAGAACTACCGACAATTATAGTGTGTTTATTTATATCAAGTAAATTGAAACGATAGGTGCGTGAAGAAATGTATAATGCAATGAAAATTACGATAAATTTCCAAAAATTTAGTCGAATAAATTTTTTACAGGTTTTATTAGAAATTACGAATGGGTCATTTTGATTGCTTTGGTAGTTCTAGTCTTAAAAACATGCTTATTGTTTTATATACAAAATGGATCCTTTCTTCGACTCTTAAATAATTTTTTAATTCAAATGGACAACAAATATATCATACTCGCGATTCAGAGTTTAGATTTCTTTTTTTCTCATTAAAAGATCGAGCGAAGTTTGACTCTAATGAAAAATCAAATGAGCTCAGCAACGAGACGTATACCAATTTGTATAAAATTCGTGTATTTGAAAATGAACTATCTTTAGGGAAGCAACCGTTTAGCCGGATCGTCCAACTCTGCTTTGACAAAAACGTACCAGCGACCAGGTTTCTTTCGATCGCTGGCGCAAGAACGAAGACACGGGATAGTATCTTTCGAGTAATTACGAGCGACGTTTGCGCGTGTTTTTCGTCCCGCGTAACGAGGGGGTTAATCGAAACGCCGTAACATTTTTCTCGAGGTCGCATTCTTCGGAGATCGGCCCTCGCGCAATCTATTTCGAAAATAATTCCGGCGAGCGTTACGGTGTAATTGATTGTTGCGGTGTAAACGTATACCCCGATAACTGACGATACCCAAAAACGGCCGAGCGGCGTTTCAGAATGTCGATAAACATGTCCAGCCCGTTACCCGCCCAATCCTGCATTCCTCGCGTGTATTTGCGCGATGAGGGGCCGTGGACAGGGACAGCGATACCAAGCAAGATAGAGAAAACGAGAGACGCAGAAATTAAAAAAAAAAAAAGAAAAAATACGCGGGGTGGAAAAAAAAGGGAAAGCATGCGGTGCTACCTCCCTCTCAATTAACCGAATTGATTTTCTACTGCAGATTTACCGCGCCCGCTGCTGCACGGCGAACAACGGGGGGTCCCGCGGAATTGAATAGATTTTTTCGCGTGCACCGTCGATTTCGCGGATAATCGTGTTTTTTTTTTTTTTTGTTTTGTTTTGCTTTTTTAAATTCTAGAATTCCCCTTGTCCGCGTTCCTTTTAACAAATCACACCGCGTAAAAATGAAATCCGACGCTTCCCGTTCGCTCGTATTCGCAACGCTTCGCGCGAGGGTACCAATTTGACTTCGAAATACAATTTTGTTCGTACTATTTTTACATTATTGAAATCATAATGTGCCAAACGAGGAAAAATGTTTTGATAAAAGTACTTCTGTTAATAAAATTATTCTAAAAACTAAGTAAATTATCCAGTCATGGTGATTTTTCTTTTGCAATCGTGATTTGACCGCGTCTACATTTGGCTTCCATTTCGACGAAAGATTTCGCATTACACGGCACACTTGTGTGCAAACACTTCTCGGAACTTGCCCGTTAGTCGCAATAAAGTGATTAGTGGTCTAGCATGCGGCAATACAGATTCGAAATACGACACCCACGGTATCGTCTTTATTCGATAACGTATCACTTACGAGCATAAGACTATAACGAAGACACGTTAGTCATTCGCTAATTATACTACGAGAACGATTCAATAATTATCCTCAACGTTGCTATCAATTTTATTTGAACACCGATCGATAGGATTGCCGTCAACGTTATTTCTCAACAAAAGTTCCACTAGCTTTTAGAGCTAGAACAAACTATCACGCAAACTAATTTTATCCGCGAAGATCAGCGAAGGAAAATGCAAACACAAGGACGTAATTGTTGTTCCACGATCAAAAGTGATATTTTCTTTTACGGGATGGAAGGCGGGAAGAACGGTCGATAGGAAAAAAGTTGAAAAGTTTTTCGATGCACAGAACCACCAGAACCCTTTACAGCTGGCATTGTTACGCAGCACGCTTCATTCCGAACGGTGGAGCTTGTAATGGCTCTTCTATTACGGATTTATGAACGAAATTGAAAAGCCCTGTACCGCGGACGGGGGCGCGAGGGGGCGGGGAACACGCCAATTTCCCGGATATCACGTGAACGAACCTCTCGTCCGCCTCGTCAGCGATTTTTGGCCTGGAGCCGCTGATTAAAACGACGGCTTTCCGATAAAAGCGCAAAATTCCCACGAATTTCGCGACCGAAAACCAGGCTTGTTTCTGCAATCAACTGCATTGCCGTTTCTCGATAGCGATCGATGACATCAAACCACGGTCATGCTAAAACAGCGATAGGGTGGGGAGGGTAGGGGGAGGATTCTGTATCGGCAAATGAAGAAATTATACAACCACGAGAAATCGCTTATCGATTTAATTTTATCTACACGGTGCAATCCGAATGGCAATGGAAAATTAAATAGTTGATCGTTTTAGACATTTTCATCTCGTCTCTATCTCAATATTTTAGTCCCTCGACAGTTTATTATTATCTACCTTCGTCTTTTCGTAGCCATTTCCATACGTTGTTTCTTACATTAAAGTAATAGTATTCGTTGAATAATTTGTACGAACGCTACTTCGAGGATCGAAGAGAATTTTTGTTTGACACGAAATGCCTAATCAAATAATTTCTGACATGTACAGTGCGTTACAAATTGTAGTCTGCAGTAACCAAAAAATTTTGTTATGATTTATATTTGAGTATAATATTATTATTTAATATCGTTCGTATCGAACTGTTCAACGCTATACTCTTCGAGGTGGCTCGTTCAGTGATAGACCAGTTCAAACAATTCCAAACTAGTTTGCAAAGGTATCCCGTAGATAACGAAGCCGGTATACACTGATTCCGCGTCTAATATTCACATTGATACGCCAACATAGATAAATAGAATTAAACACGTGTCTGTGATAATAGCGACACCGTTTCGATATTTATAATACATTGGAGTTTAAAAGTTTCAAACCGACGGGCAGTTTAGAGATTTTCATTGCGTTTGAAACTAGCGATCGTCGCCAGCGATAGGCGTCAAATGTTTGAAATGAGTTTTGCGTAGTACGGTGTACACTGATTACGAACCATACGGATTGTCGCCAGCTTAGAAACAAATGATCAACTTCGAGCTACTCTGCATGCTACTCGCGTTCGATTTCGTGCGTGAAGGCGTTAGACGACTGCATCATTATGTCGCCGTTTGTATGACGGACCATCTCTAATCGTTCGAAACATCTAATCTACATATAAGCGACCAGTCGCGTGAATCGCTACCAAAGAATAACGCTTTGTCAATTTAATATATTTTACATATATTCTACTGAACACTCCATTGTATTTTGTATACATATGTTACGTGTTACTATTATTTTATAAATAATAGTGTAGTCTCTTGGATGTTTCTACAATCTATTTCAGATTTTACGTAGCATGAACTATTGACAGAGCAGATTTATTTTATACCGATTCGTGCAATTATAATGTCTCGGAATATTAGATTTTTGGTCCATAAGACTATGATGTGCTATGTCGACCAAAATTAGGGGTAAACTTGGCCATTTGTCCCTCGACTGACAAGAACTCTTGCAACCCTTCTTGAATGAAAGAAGCCACCAGTCTACGTTAGTATGAATTGTTTGTACCGAGTGTACATCGAATGGCAGGAAGCTTATTCATGCTTGCACAGTTACGCGAAAACCGCCAACGAAAAAACAACCCCCGCCGCGTGGGGTGCAGATGCATAGAAAATTATTCGCCATCTACATTTGCAGGGACGAGTGTGTTGCCAATAATCGGTAACCGATACACCAAAATTTTACATTATACTTTTAATCCGAGAAATGTACCGTAACATGCGATATTGCACAGATCGGAATACGAGAATCGATACACAAAATAATAGAGAAACTTAAATGATCGTAACCTTTTAATGACACGATATCGGAGTACTAGTTTCCAACCTTTCCGCCCTGGTAGATTAAAAACACGAAAAATATAAGCTCCGACGATGGATCGTGTCCATCGTTTTGGAAAACACTGACTGCGGCGATTAAAGTGGTTTCTCGCGTTTGAAACGGATAAATGCAACGTAGGATAACACATCTTCGTGTATCGGTTACCCAGTTGACAACTCATGCGTGTTTACTGCCGTGGTTTGTACCGCGTAGCACTCAATGGCGAACGATCTTGCGACCCTTGGATAACGGTTTCTTCTCTGGTGGTTTCCGTCTATCTGTACTAGCGCGAACAAGTTTCATGAAGTTTGACGCCCACTGGAGATCGTTCTTAAAAGTCTTTATCAAGGGCAAAACTCTCTAAAGTGATCACAGTATAGAGAGTAAGGGTTCTTTCGTGGAAATCAACTTTCTGTGTAAAGGTTCTTCGAATTGCTTGCATATGAGAGCTCCTACTCTCAATACCGATGCTTAAAAGTAAAATTTTCAAAGGAACATTAGACATAAAACAAACAAACGCTTTTGCTAAACGAGTCGATCAGCATAGGAATTTTATAAATACTTTAATTTAATAAATACTTTACTTTTCATTAATAAATTGTATTACTGCATTACCCACAGTTGGATTTATTGAAAATCAAAACTGAATTTTTAAGTAAAATCGACAGGAAAAATTATTTTCGGTTCCGGGGGCCAATTACAAGCATTTTTGGCGAATAGACATACCCTCGAAATCATACCCACTTTCGAGAAAAAAATTCAATAGGTGCAAAAAATTTCAAATCATTCTAAAAAAATTATTTTTAGTTGTAGGGGCCAATTACAATCATTTTTGGTGAATAGACATATCCTCGAAATCCAATACACTTTCGAGAAAAAAATTCGAGAAGGTGTGAAATTTTTCGACCGAAAGAAAAATTTCAAATCGTTCTAAAAAAATTATTTCCGGCTCCGAGGGTCGATTACAAGCATTTTTGGTGAATAGACATACCCTCGAAATCATACTCACTTTCGAGAAAAAAATTCGAATAGGTGTGAAATTTTTCGACAAAATAACAAAATTTCAAATTGTTGTAGAAAAATTATTTTTGGTTGCAGAGGTCAATTATAATCATTTTTGGCCAATAGACATACCCTCGAAATCCTACACACTTTCGAGAAAAAAATTCATTATCGAAAATATAATATCTGACAATGTCTGTCTGATACCCCTTTCATGCGTATGTTTGAAACATCATAACTCTTGAACGGATTGGGGGATTTTAATGTTTAAAAATGCAAACAATGCGTATTTTAGTGATGAATATGTAGAAATTCTAACAATGTTGGAAAAGTTGTTCCTTAATCGCATAAAGTGACAAAATCCCCATGAAAATGATCCAATTCCTCGTATATTTGATTTTCCAGCATTTCCCCAGCTCCAAGTATGCCGGATAATCGGGGGTTTACTGCACTAAGACTTTTAGATGCAACGTAATAAAATCTTAGTATATCCTGATCGACTCGTTTGACAAACTCGTCGCCTCAAACCTGAAATTTGCATCGCGTGGGTAGCGAATAATCCTTCGCCCATATATCTTTGCGAACATACGGGTCTCAAGTGACACAAGTTAGCATCCCTAATGATCGCATACATACATGTACGAACTTAAGTTTATGGAACGTGGCCGATGCAACTCACGGGGTAGCGTCGTAACAGAATTAGATAGTAAACGTTGTATTATGGATGTACAGAGTTGAAGAGTGTTTGCGATGGTTCCTCGTCACGCGGCAATGCGTTGTAATCGGTTTGACAATTTGTTAGGATCAAGCCGCCAAGGAGAAGGCGCTCCAGACAATGTCGAGCATGTCAAGCGCCCAGATAGTATCAGCTGGGAGTGCGATACACAACAAGATGCCCCCCGCCCTCGTGGGACCCCTTGCCCTTCACGCTTCCACCCCTGTCTCCTATCCCGGAGCGGTAAGTCCCGAATCACGGGAAACCCCTTGGAAACTTTATTTTTATCGGCCTGCGATTTCTTTTCGAACGAGCCACGAGCTTTCGGGGTACGAGACGACGAGACACGGTGACTACGAACGCGAAAAGAGAGAAAGATCGTGCGCGTTGCTCCCGCGAACGGCGAAGCGAAACTGCTAATCGCGATGCACGCGAAACGAGATTACTCGATCGAGGCGCGGGTTAATTAAAGGGAGCTCGCCGTAATTCGAGCGATTAATTAAAGCGTTCTCCCGGTGATCGACGACGTTCGATGCGTCACGGACACGCGCCGTTTGATCGAGACGCTGAAGGGTCGAACGGAATGGACAAACGGTGTCTCGTCGTCTTAAGGATGTTAATCATTAATCGCTACACTGTTCGGGGTTTGGCTTCTTCTTTGAAGATTTTTTTTTTTTTTTTTTCTAACTGCTTCGCCCTATAACCATTTTATCCGCTTGCAAGATGGCGGTCACGATCGTGTGGTTTGTCGACTGACCTAACCATTTCACTCATACTCCAAACGTAAACGATCGATGGTCTTTCGCTTTTGTGATGTATCGTCTCGCGTAATTAACAAAACTGCCACCTAATCTCCGTTTCATTTCGAAAGTTTCATTTTTTGACGTTGTTCGAACGTAGGATTTGCACATATTTCTCCCCGTGTTTCGTTCCACAATAACGGCCGTCTATTCGACAAAGCGTCTCCTTCGAGAATAAACGACAGCGGCGCAATAAGTTACAGAAGGTGCTCGGGTAGCTTTTTCCCCCTTTTATTCGTTTCTGTCATTTATTCTCTTTCTCTCTCTCTCTCTGTCTTCGACACGGGCGCGTGCACTCGCTTTTTCTCGATCTTACATCGCTGCTCTCTTCCATTTATCGATTCTTTCTTCGTCGTTCGCGTCGCATTTCACGATACTGTCCATCCGTGGAAAGAAAAAAACCAGCTTTTGGGGGCAACTACGACTACGACTACGGTTCGCAATTTTTCTTTTCTTAATCGTGGAAGCTTGGCGCGAGCAAACACTAACCATCCTCGCAAAACGTTACCCCCTACGCTCTCTGCTGCTACGCCCCTGGGGGTCCTTGTTGTGTATTGTTCAATTTGTCCGTCGTTCTATTTTTTACATATGTAATCATCTGGGCATACATACACACGTATACGCGTGTATACGTTGCGAGGCGTCATTGTGGCTTACCAAACTGTCTTTCTCTCTTCATATAATACGACTACTATTATTTTCCTTCACTTATATGTACATATGTTTTTTTTTTTTTTTCTTTTGTGTTTTATTTTCTATCGCCTTACTCTGAAGCGTTTACGATCGTTCCTCGCCCGAGGGCTCGCTGGCTCACGGAGAAAAAGTAAGGTCTCTTCCTCACGCAATCTCGATGTTCCCGATTTAAAAAATTTTACGCGAATGGACAAATTGTTTCACGAATAGGAAGACGCCTAATTTTTTCTTCGAAAACGGCAACTGAACGCGTTCAAAACGATTTATTTCTACGAAACCGACAGTACACAATGTTTTTATCGTTGCTATTATGAGCTTAACTGCACGTGACTAATGTCTCCAGGCAACTGTCGGCCGTCTTGTTCTAGAAATAAATCTGAAAATGTTGAATCGCGACGCACCAGAGGTTTCGAGGTAGCAAAAAGAACCCGGACATTCTACTTTTCAGCAATTTTGGCAGCCGGGTCTGCAGCCAGGAACGTCCCAGGATGTCAAGCCGTTCTCGCAGCCGGCGTACACCGGGAAACCAGCGACGGCGGTCTCGAGCGGTGACATGGTCCAGGCTCAACCACCCCCGCCCTGGGAAGGACGTGCCATTGCAACCCACAAGCTCAGACTCGTCGAGTTTTCGGCTTACATGGATCAACAGAGAGATCAGGATATTGTAAGCACTGTTTTTGATTCGAAATTTTATCAAAAAAACTCAAGATGATTGAGGCAATTCGAATGAACCCCTTTTATTTACTCTTAACACTTTAAGTTGCCCGTCACCACTGATATTGTACACCAAAGTGAAATACACGAAGATGCTAGGAATATTATTATAAGGAATTATAAATGTAACCTCAACAAACGTAATAAGTTGAAATTGTCAAAGTCAAAGTGTTAAAATATGACCCCTTTTTAGATATAACAAAATTGGTTGTGTATTCACCAGAGCTCGAGGAGAATATTATTTTGCCCTTTGTATTTAATGTTTAATGTTAAATGTCTCTATCGTCACGTTATACGTTTTAATTCGACCGTAATTAACGTTCGAATGTTTTTTTCTTGCGTTTTACAGTACCACAAACACCTGTTCGTCCACATAGGAGGATCTGCGACTTACGCAGATCCGTTACTGGAGGCTGTTGACGTTAGGCAGATATACGACAAATTCCCAGAGAAAAAGGGTGGCTTGAAGGAACTGTACGATAAAGGACCTCAGGCAGCCTTTTTTCTCGTTAAATTCTGGGCTGATCTCAATACGAACATCCAGGATGAAGCTGGAGCCTTCTACGGTGTGACTAGCCAGTAAGTAAATTTTTCATTTTGCGTTCAGATAGTTTTAGCTACGGGAATCCAAAGTGAATTCATCAGAATTTATTCATCGATAAATAGCACAATCTATTATGGTCCATGGTTTTTAAATTGAGATGTATTTGATATCTATATCTGAAAAACCACTGATATTTCATGAAACTTCAGGTGAAATTTGCGCTGTTTCGAAAGGGGTGACTTTTTCTTATAGATCCGTACTTTTCTCCCTGTATAGAATCGTTTATTTATTTATTTTTTTTTACCCAGATATGCAGCTTACACAAATGCGAATTCAATGGTGTATAATATGCAAAGTTACTGAAAGTAAATATCGAGAATGTTTTCGAAACTTTCTCCCACGTTAAAATTCGAAGACACAGTTTCGACAAGCACTCGTAGGATAATTGGATCATGGTTATACCGTTCCTTCTCTTTATACTTTTAGTTTTCCTTGTGTTTTGTTCCTTAGAACTGGAGTTAACCCAAGTTCGCCGATTAGTAATCGCCAATATTTAATAAGGACCAATCAGCGAGGGTTAGAAAAATGTAAGAAAGGGTTGTGATCGATCAATGGCGACGAGACCATCGATCGAACAGACAGGAGACAGAACAGATCGTCGAACATACGCATAAAATCTTCTTAGAAAAAATATTATAAATGTTTCGTTGGATAATTACTTTTAATAGCCACGCGTATTATTTCTGCATTTATAAGTAGATTTTCTCCGAGATACGTTCCTAATACATTTGACGTAATTTTTCTCGCCACAAGAAATGGCGAAAGAAACATAATGATAAAGAAGAAGTACCATTACATTTCCACAAAAATCACCGGACTTAACCCTGGGAACACCAACATGGGTGTATCGCTTCCAACGATCGTATTTGAGCTTTTACCATTTCCTTCATGACGCCATTCGTTAATGTTCGTTTTAATTTATTTAAACGTTTTAATTTACTCGAATCATCTTTCTACGCATACGTTCGTAATCCGTAGACTCAAGAGAAAAAAAAACTAGCCACACTAAGCGTAAATCCGTGAAGTTTAAAAAAAGTTACAGCGATTTGAAAAGACGTTGTATTTTGATGTTGGTGTTCTAGGGTTAACTCCTCTGGATTTCTTTTTATGGGGTTATTTGGAGAATGAAGTTTACAGAGAAGAGTCCAACATACTGGAAAATATGAAAATCCAGGTAAGGGCAGCGTGTCGACGAGTATATCCAACAAAGTTCGAACCACATAGTTGAACGATCATTCAAGGATCGATGTAAATCGTTGCGTCGAAGATCGAGGTCGCAATTCTCGGATTTTTACGTCGAGCAAAGTTTCGAAAATATTCTTGACGTTTGCTAGAACTTGATCTTGAATGATCTTGCGTATCATAGATTAGTGGATTCGTCTGCGTGCAAGCCGTATGCCCGTCTAAACGATAGTAATTGTTTTCGTCAAAACGCACAAAGGTGATATTGAGATCTCAGATTCGCCACCCGCCAGAAACGAAGTTACGACCATCGTAACGTGCCCCCCTCTGAATAGAGTAACTTTCATCCGAAACATAACTTTTTTTTATTTTTTTTCTTTGAAAAAACTGAAACTTTGTTACTAACGCGACTGATTTTTGAACAGGTACGAGAGCAACGAAAACATGACGATAACGTGTTCGACCAAAGTTTGCTCTTTCGGAAAACAGGTGGTGGAGAAAGTGGAGACGGAATACGCTAGGTTCGAAAATGGCAGGTTCGTCTATCGTATTAGCCGTTCACCAATGTGCGAGTACATGATCAATTTCATACACAAATTGAAGCACCTGCCGGAGAAGTACATGATGAACAGCGTACTCGAGAATTTCACCATTCTCCAGGTATGATATAATTTATTTTCTGCGTGTAAATTATTACCAACCATGGAGGTAATGAATAGCTCGGGCGTACATCTCGACTAGCGAATATGTACTTAAGTGCACAAACAAGCAATCGCGTACTCGTTTGCGGGATTGAAATTCTTGTAATATTTCCAAATCTCCTAGTCACTTACAGACGTTAGACATTATAGTCTCATCCCCTGGCAATCATTAAAGCGCAAATGAACTACTACAAGTAACTTGCGGTTAATACATTTGCCCTAGCAATCATTACGGTGTGATCTATTTAATTATTGATACATCAATTATCGAGGAAATATAAATACAGTGTCAAGTATCGAGATTCTTATAGTTGTCATTTGGTTATGTCATTAGTAAGCTGTATTTACTTGACATAGTAATTAAAGAGTGGTTTAATAATTATAACCACCTTGAACACGTCTGTAATTTTTCGAGATACGAAAAGACTTTATTTAAAAATTTTGTAAATGAAAATATTCATGATGGTCATAGTTATTGGGCCACCCCGTATAGAAATACGCACACCTCGGCGTTTTCAATGGCCTTAAAACATGTTATCAAGATCAACATTCCGAACAACTTTTCTCTGTACATAGAGCAGCCGCGCTCGGCCTTTAGTTTCCGAGTAACGCGCAAAAGTATTTGCAACGTAACATATTCGACTATGTGTTCTCATATGTGACTTGGATTTAGATTAAATTTGGGTTAGGATTGGATTTGGTGGCAGAGGTGGGAGAACAATAGTGTGGCGTAGGAACACATTAGAGTTTAACATCCGGTGGGCTCGCTGACCCGATGCAGAACCATAGTACAGAGTAAAGACTCTTTGAAAGATCGTCAGACTCGATTCTTTGGAAGATCATTTCTATCACCGACTTGGAGATCTCCCTTGAAAATAGTGAAACATTAAAGGCGACATGGTTGGAACAAAGCAACTAATGCAATGTGCCTGATTCTTTATAAACAATCGACGACTGGCATTTAAAAATCGTAGCTTACTTATGGAGTTTCTTTTAAAACGTGACGCGATTTGGATGATTTTTAAATTATTTAGTTTGTTTCTTTTCACCGTCGTTCTTGCGCAATATGGTTAATTCGTATAGATGTACGAATTTGAAAATAATGGTGGTTCTGTGTTTTGTTTCCAGGTTGTTACGAACAGGGATACGCAGGAAACGTTATTATGCACGGCATACGTGTTCGAAGTGTCGACATCCGAGCACGGTGCGCAACATCACATATACAGATTGATCAAGGACTAGCCTGCTTGAACCTGCTCGCCATGCAGCCATCCACCCCCATCAGTGCCTACCATCACATAAAAAAATCATCCATACGCGCATACATACAATTACACACCAGGTATATTAACCCTTTGAAGTACGGTGGTCAATTGCGTACGACCACGAGTTTAACGTAAGTTACTATCATTTCTTTACTTCGCTCAATGCTAGTTTCGCCCGTGACACGATTAACGGGGGCAACGTATACTTTTTTACGGTATAAATAGAATATTTACGAACGTTAAATATAATATTTATATTATATATTGTAATTTACAGAATTTGTAGTTTTAGTCGACCTGTACGTTACAGAAGTGTATTTTTTACAATCTGAATTTTTTATCAGTTACTTATCACGCGGATTGCTCTTAAATGTACGCTTCAAAGGGTTAAGCGTGAATACATGATTGTAAACACGCTCGAACTATATATATACATATGTTTATATGTATACACATCTCACATATTCGTTTAACCGAGTTTCCATCGAAAATGTTCCGTTGTTTAAATAAAAAAAAAAGAAGTGACAGCGTTAACAGATCGTGTGTCGGATAAAATTTATGTCAAACGTAGATTTTTAAACACACGCTTAAGAATTGCTGTTTAAATCCAAGATGCGTTTAATTATTTTAATCGATCCGCATTATGACTAGATTGTATATTTAATATGATATTCGGAAACATTTTCTGCGAAACTCGTTAAAGAGAACTTGAAATTGACACACACACACACACACACACATACACACAGAGACACGCGCACGTACACACATTTCACATACACGTTAGGAGTACTGCCCAGCCCGAGCTTGAGTTTGATTCAAAACTGATAAAAATTGTATTAAATAATTGGCACGCGTGTTTTAGTATATTACGGAAAGAGTTTCTCGCGTGTATTGCCAGAAAGCACGTTCCAAATTTCGGAATTGTAAATTTTATATTAAAACAGATATAATCGTATATATTTTATGAATATTTCCGTCATTCGCAAACAGACGAACCGAAAATCGTCGTGGTTTTAATAAAGAGATATAATAAAAGTTAAGTTAAAAAATTGACAATAAATTTGGTATGAGAATGCGTCGATAATAGTGTATGTACCAAGATAGAAAAAAAAGTACCGTAAAAAAAAAAAAAAAGGAAACAGACTCTGATCTCGGAAAGGCGTGGTACCAACATAATTTAGTATTATAGTTTTATTATTAAACTAGGGAATAGATCAGACAAGACATCCACACGCAGATATACATATATTACATATAAGAATATATATGTTAAATATTAATGCAATGATTACAATTTACATTGTTATAAATGATCATGTATAAAGTTATCTAAGTGATTTCTAAGTTTTAAACGAAAAGGAAGTTTAATAGAGATGTATGCCATTATGATTTCTTAAGTCTCCTTGGTTACATTATCATTATTATAATTTTTTTTTTTTTATTATCAAAAGCGAGCACAGTCAAGAATAATATGGTGAAACGTTACACACCTTTCCTTAAGCTTTTTGTTGTAGAACTGTTTTCTCTTTCTTAGCTATTATTACAACTAACGTAAGAGTTTTCGCTGCAGAGCTTTTTAATTCTCAATGATCAGATAAAAGAAAGGAAGATGAGACATTTTGGTCGTCGTTTTTTTTACGTATTTGTAAAAGTTAATCTTTTAAACGCACTTACAGTTGTGCAAACCCACCCACTCTTAGGCAGCGACACTTAGATTAGAGGGATGTGTTTGTATTTATTGTAATCACTTTCTTTCTCGTACTTCTAAGATCTTTTCTTTTTTTTTCTTTTTTTTTCTATAGTTCTTACGTGAATGACTTTCTTACTAAGCATATTTCGTTTGTTTTTATCTTTCTACTACAGTTGTAAAGCAATGCGTTTGATTACATCGATTGCACACGTTAGATACGGACAGTGTCCATCAGAAAGTCGAAACAGGTGACAGAGATGTTTCCTCTTTAACTTGACGATCCGATACCACGACTTTCCGTCTGAAGGATACCGAAGTTCAAGCATATGTAGTACATCTGTTACTTGAACTTGGTTCTCCATTGTTACGAAAACCAACAACGGTATAGCGTGATTTCATTGCAGCTCTCTAAATTTGAGCATACTATCACGGAAATCTTGCTTGATAATTTGTTTCGTACTTAAATATCATTTTGACATTCAACACATGGACCACAAAAGTTCAATGCAGAGATTCTGTTTCATGATCATAGTAACAATTATTTAAGGAGTAGAGGATCATTATTTTACGATCAGTTTTATTTAGTCGCATCTCTCGCAGAAACTATGCGTGTAAATTTGCAGAAAACATTTTACGTATTCTTTAATCTGATCAATTGTATGTTCCAAAACAGAACTCGCCTGTAAGGCAGTGAATATTAAGATATACAGGAAAGAATCATCTATGCTTTAAGAAAATATTAATAATACTTATTGTATTTTTACTTTAATTAACTTTTATGCAACAAGTGGCAATGTATTTTGATCTCTCTTTTAGTCAGAAATAATGTCGCTTTTTATTTGGGGTGAGAATTGAATTTGCTAAGTGATTGACTGAATAACGAAGGAACTTATATTTAAATAATAACGTATGTGGCTTTCGTTCGATAAGTGGCAGCTTTCACAATTTTTACTTATTGTTACATTTCTTTTTTTTTTTGTAATAATTGATCATAAGCGTTGTTTTTACATATTATTATCTATACATTGTAATTTTGAAAAATTCTGTGTACATTAAAGTGGAATTGGAACCGTCGAGATGTTCTTACGTGACGTTGTTTTTAAATTAATTTATTGTACTTTTTGTTTAATAATTTTGTTCTTGTATCATTTGGAAGAAAGAGTAAAATTGATCGACTTGGAATTTAGAGGGTGAATGGATGTTAAATATAAAGGTCTCGGGAATTTAATAGTTTTCGAGATACTAAGTTAGCTTTGGCTATCTTTTGTTCCGTACTATAAATGTTTAGGTTCGATTAGAATGGTATATTGCAATGTAACTTTTTCCAGGCGACAAAGTTAAAATTTGACATAAAGCCCATTTTCTGTGGGACAAATACGTATATTTAAGCGGCGATATACATATATAATTTTCAATATTTCTTTATTAATATCTTGAAAACTGTTTAATTTCTGAAGTTAAAATTTTATATTTGGCATCCATTTCCCCCTAAAATTTCATGTTGATTCGAAAGAATGTCCAAAAAATTGTTTAATAATGCAGACAGAGATTGTCTCAATACAGGTCGTTTTGTTTAATCGTTCAGTAGACGAACATGCATCTCGAGGTTTTAAATCGACTTATAATGAGGCGTTATTATTGAGGAAAAAAAAACATATTTCGCAATGTCTTTGAAACATACTCAAATCTCATTTCGGTTATGCGAATTTTTATTTCGAGGAAAAAGAAAAAAATAACGGGAGGAGTATGAAATCGAAAAAAGGAGCACCGACACTAATATTATTAACATTAACGAATAATGATTTTAAAGTAAGCGAATTACATTTATAAGAAAAGATTATGAAAATATATATTTATCTATGTCTTCTGTGAAGATAGAAAATAGCACTCTCTCACTCTATATTGATGATATCAGAAAAAATCGAAATCCAATAAAGATACAAAACGCAGAAGTAGATTAGGAGGATAAAAAAAGAATTCCCACTGTACACAATACATAATACGATCAATGACAAACCGAAATTTGTTAAATATCTTTGTACATATTTACATAAAGATCATCAAAAGAAAAGTTCCAGTGGCTACGTTTATGTACTGTTAGAAGTACGGCGAGAACAAAAATCGTTTTATTTGTATATCGTGAAATCGGTTCAACACTATGAAAATGAAACATTAAAATATTTTGTCCGTATTTTCATAGAGACTCATCCGTCAGGCAAATAATTATAAAATGTAAAAAAAATTTGATTTGTTTCAATGTTACGATACATCTGCAATCTAGTTTTATAACGACAATTGGAAATTCTAAAATTTTTTGGCGAATATGTTTGAACTACCACAAATCGTTATCTCTATGAAAACATCGACTGCAATCCTAATAGCGTATTATGTGCAGAAATCGTTGAATTATGTGCAAAAATTAAAAACTCACACAGATTTGAAATTTATATTTCTTCATATACTGCCATATCAAAGAATTGAGCTTGATTATAAAAATGATTAAATGAAATATTGATCAGAAAGAATGGGATCTACCTGTATATTATCATAAATAAAATGAAACGAGGATCAAAGTAGTTGATTTAACAAGTAAATAAAGAACGAAATGATATATCATTAAATTAGAGGTTTAAAAATATAATAGAATTCAGTATATGTACAGTATTTGAAAAACATGTTTATAATTTGTATGGAAAATAAATAATTGATATAAAAAGAAATTGCATTTATTTAATTACCAGCAAAAGCTGGCTATTATTATTCGAATTATGCAAGGTGTTACTAAAACTGTGGAACCTTTTTAAAGATTGATTCATCGTACCATTTTATCAGACTCTAAATTTAAAAATAAATGTTCGAAGTTCAGAGCCATTTTTCATTCAATGTAGGCTGCTATTCTGAGATTCATTTTAGGGGGTCTAGCTTCTTAAGAGCTCATAGCAATACGAAATACATAGTTTTAGAGATTTGGTACTTTCAGTCATTTCTCCAAATATTTTCAATTCAATAAACAAAATTCAACAATAATTACTTACTTTTTTCCGCCATACCATTAAGAGATACTGAACCATCAGAGTTTTTCCGGTTTAACATGTTACCATTTGCAGATGAAGTTTGAAAGGTTACAAAATTTTCCTCTTTTAACAAGAATCGATCTGCGTCCATTATGGCGTCGTTTCTGTTGCCGCGTTAGCTATCAAAGGTTAAAATTAAGAAATAAAAGTATAAGAGGTGTATACTTAAAACATATTGCGATAAAAAGCCAAAGAAAAATTATTTTCACGAGCGTGTTGTCACACTAAGTCGTCAAGATTATCAATTTGAACTAATTGACGAACGTTAAATTCAATTATAATTTCTACCTTTTCACTTGCGCTGTGATCTTATTCTTTTCTCGATTGGTAACGCTGTATGCGACGCCACAGACCAGTGCTACCACACTCATTAATAAATTCGCGTTCCTTTGCTTAGTTAAAGTTGCAAATAATTTGTAGCAATTGTATAATTACATTTAGTGTTACGAATGATGAGAATTTTTCGCGTTTGCTTTTCCAGATTCTAAATATGAGGATCAGGCCTCGATCTATCATATGGATTATAACTAATTTGAACAATGGAAAAGCACAGACGAGGTATACGAGTCGACCACCTTATGGATTTTCGTGGCCCAATCTGACTGCCATACCGACCTGAAAATTCGGAGCTGATTTTAGCGACCTCTTCTCATGGATGGCGGTCAATTGAGAAACTATTCATTGAATTAGCATTAATGGATAGACAGCTGTAGTGTACGCGTAAGTCATGTGAGTTGACTATGGAAGGGATTAAAATTGATTTTTGTATCTATTGATAACGTTGCGAATGACACGAAAATGTTAATGGGGTTTCGAGACCCCATAAAAATGGGTTAAAAAAATTCATTTCGTGAAAGATCTACCTGTATTGTCCTGTATGCCTCGTCTGTGACAATACTTTTGAATCTTTGATGAATCAATGAGAATCAAAACTAACCTAGTGAAGAAGTTCTATATTTATGATGATCTATGCAAAGCAGATCGCAGCCAATTTGCTAATATTATTCAGTTTTTAATTAATAATTGCATTACCCAGCTAAGAGTGATACGATTATTAATTAAACGCTAAATAGTATTATCCAGGTCTCACCACGTGGAGGTTGCTGCGAATGGAGACCCGCCCTAACCGATTCCCAACCACCCTCCATTACTAAAGATCTGTGACCAACAATCGTTGGTCGAAGAAGAAACAAACGAAAGTGCAACCAACGAAGGAAACAACCAACGAAAGAGTTTCTTGAGAAAGAATTTGCCTGTAAATTCTCATCAACAAAACGAAGAAATGGACCAAAATATTGCCTGCCTGATATAATGATTAATATAGAGAACGAAATTCCTGCCTAACTATAAATCTAAATTTGTTTATATCCTACCTAACTAATCATCTAAGAAAATACATAGAAAATGTATTCTTCCTTGTTGATCCTTCGACGAAGATTTCCTGAAACATACTGTTACATTCTACCTAACTATAAATCTAAATTATTAAAACATAAACTAAGAAATCTGAAACAAAATACATGAAATACATTATTTTTTCTTCTATCTTCTATTTATCTCACGATGATTTCCTGAAACACAAACTAAGCAATATCAAACAAAATTGTAACAATTCTTAATTGTTACTTTTATAAACCTGAAACTTCCGTAGGAATATGCTCTGTAACAGAAACTTGTTTGATAGATTAGTAAGAGAACAAACAAAAATTTGACACCTGCAAGAAGCATATGCCCAACACTGAATCTGTAAAACTACAAATACTACAACTACAGGCAAGTGCAGTGACAAAGTAAAAATAGTACATAATGTACGAGGTTACTTTGACTCTAAAATGTATTCGTAGCAAAATATCTTCTTGCACGTCAATCTAATGATATATTTTAATAAGTAAAGAAAGACTTTGGGTATCTTCGATATCGAGGATACCCAAAGTCGTCAACTCAATTATGAAAGTGAATTTAATTATTGAGGAATGTAAAGAACCATCGGAAGCTACTAATTTGATACTCATTCTAAAATGAATATAATTATAAGTATTGTAAAAGATATTAAAATCATGACTTTACTTTCGATCGATATTACGATATTTGTCATATTACAAATTGCGGCGAGTAAAAACATCGCACGCTTAAATAAAACGCGACGCGACACGTGCTCATAGCGTGCAGTGAGTGTGGGTATCAAATTGATCCCCCCCGGCCTTGATTATCAGAAAAGCAAGTCACGTCCCTGACCCATGTCTATCGGGCCTCTCTACGTACAACCGCCGGGTCCTGGAGGACACACGACCACAACAGGACCCGCTTAGTACTCGAGAACGGATATGAGTCAAGAACTCTCGCCGGAGGTCATTCTCTTTTCCGTATAAAGAGGAGAATATATGCGCTCGGTGAGGCCCCACTTAAGCTGAACCAAGCTGCACCAGGGTTGAAGCGGTTAGAGCTATCACACCTAATACACAGGTGTCACATGTTTCATTCTATCAAACAGAGGTGATCGAGCAAAACTCTCCGGTCCTTTCGGTCGAGACATAATCTCGGAGAGCGAGAACCAGAGAACAAGCGGACGAAAGAAAGTGAGCTACTCATATATGTATATGTACTCATTATATATTCATTTTAAAATTAGTGTCAAATTAAAAATGAATCTACTATGACATTTGTCATCTTAAAAATCGCGGTGTGCAAGAAGATTATAACTTTAAGCAAAAAATACTAACTACACTTGTCTAACTAGTTTAAATGTACCAAGCAATTATTTTGTTTAAAAAGGGGGGAAGGTAAATCCAGGGAGATGCGACGTGATACGACACGATGTCGATCAGCAGTGATCGACGCAAGGAAAGAGATACGCGACACGAACCGAGTAACTGGTCAAAAGGGTCAGCTCCGTTGCCTCTTGGCAAGTCCAATCGAAGGGGAAGCGAATCGACGCACCCGACACAGAGGTTCCCCATTTCTCCCACGCATCCTGTTGGGAACCAGTTGGACACAACGTGAGATGACTAACAGAGAGAGGGAGCGTGTGTCGGGGCTACCGTAGACAGTAACAGTCCCTGATCCCCTCTGCGGCCGAAATACTCTTTCCCTTGGATCGTCTCGCCAGAGGACGGTAACTGACCCGTCGGACTAGTTAAACGGCCGATCACTTGCTTTCTACATTAAAACAGTGGTGACCGGAACAAGAAACAGGAGAATGGGTGAACGAAAAGCTGGTTGGTAAAGAATTACTTGGCATATGCGCAGACGCATACAAGGGAGTTGTCGATGCTTATATCTAATTTAAATGTACCAAGCAATTATTTTGTTAAAAAGGGGGGGAAGGTATATCCAGGGAGATGCGACGCGATACGACACGATGTCGATCAGCAGTGATCGACGCAAGGAAAGAGATACGCGACACGAACCGAGAAACTGGTCAAAAGGGTCAGCTCCGTTGCCTCTTGGCAAGTCCAATCGAAGGGGAAGCGAATCGACGCACCCGACACAGAGGTTCCCCATTTCTCCCACGCATCCTGTTGGGAACCAGTTGGACACAACGTGGGATGACTAACAGAGAGAGGGAGCGTGTGTCGGGGCTACCGTAGACAGTAACAGTCCCTGATCCCCTCTGCGGCCGAAATACTCTTTCCCTTGGATCGTCTCGCCAGAGGACGGTAACTGACCCGTCGGACTAGTTAAACGGCCGATCACTTGCTTTCTACATTAAAACAGTGGTGACCGGAACAAGAAACGGGAGAATGGGTGAACGAAAAGCTGGTTGGTAACGAATTACTTGGCATATATGCAGATGCATATAAGGGAGTTGTCGATGCTTATATCTAATTTAAATGTACCAAGCAATTATTTTGTTAAAAAAGGGGGGGAAGGTATATCAAGGGAGACGCGACGCGATACGACACGATGTCGATCAGCAGTGATCGACGCAAGGAAAGAGATACGCGACACGAACCGAGAAACTGGTCAAAAGGGTCAGCTCCGTTGCCTCTTGGCAAGTCCAATCGAAGGGGAAGCGAATCGACGCACCCGAAACAGAGGTTCCCCATTTCTCCCACGCATCCTGTTGGGATCCAGTTGGACACAACGTGGGATGACTAACAGAGAGAGGGAGCGTGTGTCGGGGCTACCGTAGACAGTAACAGTCCCTGATCCCCTCTGCGGCCGAAATACTCTTTCCCTTGGATCGTCTCGCCAGAGGACGGTAACTGACCCGTCGGACTAGTTAAACGGCCGATCACTTGCTTTCTACATTAAAACAGTGGTGACCGGAACAAGAAACAGGAGAATGGGTGAACGAAAAGCTGGTTGGTAAAGAATTACTTGGCATATGCGCAGACGCATACAAGGGAGTTGTCGATGCTTATATCTAATTTAAATGTACCAAGCAATTATTTTGTTAAAAAGGGGGGGGGGAAGGTAAATCCAGGGAGATGCGACGCGATACGACACGATGTCGATCAGCAGTGATCGACGCAAGGAAAGAGATACGCGACACGAACCGAGAAACTGGTCAAAAGGGTCAGCTCCGTTGCCTCTTGGCAAGTCCA